GATTCATCCTCAAATAGTCTCTTGCCAACAGGGACGTGGCACGTGCCCTCTGATCGGGTGGTTTTGCCGCAAAATGGCACCATTATATTACGATCACGGCCAAAGCCCGTATGTTCCCTAAAGGCGTCAAACCCTTGAGTTATGAATCATAGGGTATATCTGATAGGCATCAAGCCCTCTGTTAGCTAAGGTGGATTCAGATATATCCCCTTAGACAAATACCAACCCAGGTCTACAAGGTATTCTTGGACGAAGCAACCCATGGCTGCCGACAAGGTGCCTTCTGTCAGGTTGGGTCGACTACCTCCTCTGACTAAGTAGACCAAGGATCATGATAGCCCGGGACGACGGAACCATGGGATCTTGATCGGGCTCGTCTTCATTCCCCCCAACATCAGTTTTAAGTTTGTGGTGATAAACTCTAAATTTCAAATTATTCAAATTCAAAATTTAAACCCTAAAATTATTGCTATTATACGATAGGTTCATAACTTATTTGACCTCTTTTACGACTAGCCTTAATCGAAAGTTCTCTCTTGTTATTAGGAGGGGTAATTAACTATAGGGGCTTGCGCCTATAGGAAACCAGAACTCAGATCAAAAAGTCCTCACCAAATGAGGGCGAAATCTCTGGGTAGTGTCTTATCTAAAACAATCTGCCTTCTGAAAATTCCCCCGGGATCACACACCTAAAATTGGAATTTTTCGGAGCCCACAATTCTTCACTCAGAATTTAATCTTGGAGCAACTTCAATGCACAAGTTATGGAAATTATTTATTATAAATCTGTTGTCATTCTTTAATAAGAATTAAATTTAGCTGCAAATTTGAATGCACGGTTCTGACTTTTTATTTTACTTTATTCACAATTTATTTAAATAGAAGATAGGAAACTTTCTAATTATTCCTCTTTCTAAAATTTACCCTCTGTGCAAGTTAATTTGAAATTTATCTAGTTTTCTCCTTCATGAAGTGATTAGTATTCAAAACATAAGTACAGATTTCGTTTGACAATAAAATTAACCTTAATTATGCTTCAACCAAATAGTAATTTGCACTAAAAAATTATAAAACAACAGTTAAATTAGTTAGTGGATTGCATTTTCTTAGGATTAACACATATAGGTCATTGCAATAGCAGCATTTAAATACCTTTTCTTTTATATATTTGCTGCTAATCGATCATTGCTATAAAATTAAAATGTTCACTTATTGATGCATTGGATTTGCACTTTGTGAATATTTCATTGAATTT